TAATTTCTCTTTGATACCATGACTTTTGGTCTTTTTAGTCGGTCGATTTATTCCTTCTTTTATGGCAACACCTGATTAAATAAAATATTGGAATTAGAAACAATTTTCAATACATGATTCAATACATAATCTAAAGCGAATACTGTATACAAAAAAAAAATATTTAATAGTAATTCACTCACCAACACCGCTACCTATGGCAACTGAACCTCCAACAATACCAGCTATAGCAGCTTCTATAGCAATACTAGCACCAGCAGTAAACGGAGCAAGAACTATAGAAGCTACAGTCAACGCAGTCCCGATTCCTGCAGCAGCGGAACCAGCAGCAATAGCTTTGGTAGAAGATTTGATTTCACCTTCAACAGCGTCTAACTCGTCTTTTGTCTTTGATTTAATTTTATTTGGATCATTTTGAACAACATTTTTATATTCATAAAGATTATTTCTGATATTTACTAATTCATCTTTAATGTTATTTGCTTGATCCTTCAACGATTTAGCAGATTTCAAATTACGTTTAGTAACATCCAATAAAGATTCTAATTCTTTAAAATCATCATCAGAAACAGGTTGATCGGAGAAACCTTTAATAATTAATCGTAAATTCGAAACGTATTTTCGTATTTCGTGACTTTGTTGAATAGAATCTTCTGTAAATAAGCGAAAATTTTCACGTTGCATGTGAATTTGGATCTATATATATATGCAGAAAATAAAAAGTATTAATACGTATAAACCTTACTAAAATTCTTTTATTAATAGCTCTAATCCTAAATTTTAGTCTATCCCTAAAAAAAAATTTCAGCATAGCCGTAACAATAACCGATTATTATACCTTAGTCACTATCTAGATCGTAGGGTATAAATCAGTTATTCTATGTTTTTAAGCGGAAGTTTCATTTCCGGTTTGCACTCATGACACTCGGTGTATCTATTACCAATTTCAATTATAATAATACGTACGTACGTACGTACGCACGTAAACTTAAAAACGGAAAAACGTTATTCGATCTTGGTGCCTGAAACAAAATTTTATTATACGACCATATAGTTGCCAATTTAGTAAAATAATTTCTGAACCGATTTACTATAGAGAAAGCTTCTTTCTTTTTCGGAATCATAATTATTTTCCAAATTCCGGATTACGTGTAACTTACATTAAAATCATTTAACGAAGAAATCTGTTTAGAAACATTTTTGTTTGGTTATTTAATCCAAGTATGGTCTTGCTCAAAGAA